CCCTGTCCACAGCATGAGGGCAGAGATGGCCAGGACACTGCTCAAGGCCAGCCAAAGATGGCCTGAAGATGGCCCTGAAGGCGCTCACAAGGGCCGAAGAGGGCTGCGGGAACGGCCGAGAAGGGAGCCAAGCAGGCCAGGTTTGGACGGCCGAAGCGGCAGCACGACCGTTTTGGGCAGTAACTCCAACGGAATGCCATTGAAAGTCGGGCCGGTTTGGGGCCGGTGTGGGTCTTGTTTTGGGGGCCCGCGTGAAGTCCAGGATCGTCCAACATTGATCCTGGAGCGGGGTCAGGAACGACGTCGAAGTTGACATGTCGGCAAGTATACAAGCCATAACAGAATACAAGAGGCGTCCAGGCGATCCCTGGCGAAGCGACAGTCTTCAAAAGCTAAGGTTTTGTTGTAGTTTTGAAGTGTCGAAGTTGTTGGCGAAGTGGGGCCCAAGAGGCACTCTTGAAGTCTCCGGCAGCGCATTCGGGAGGCGACGAACGGGGCCTGCATGGAGGCCAAATACGTCCCGAAAGCGTTTCCAGGTTGGGCTCAGAGTCGTCGACATCTAGAGTTTGATTAAAGAGGTTTCCGCCATTCCGCCGACCCCCAGAAGGAGTCAAAGCTTGCGACGGTCGTGGAAGTTCTCTAGTTGCCTTCGGTCCAACACGCCACCGTTCCTGGGCTGTGGGTCGGGAGACTCTTGGATGATTACGAGGATCTCTTAGGATGCCCCTGGGGGACATCTTAGAAGGCTCGTGGGTGCACTTGGGAGGCTTCTGTTTGGGGGACTCCTTTTTTTTCGTCTCACAACTATGATGCATCTTTCTACTTTTCAGGAGGCAGTGGCTTCCCCCGCCTGGTCCCAGCGGGGCCCGGACGAGGGTCCGCAGCCGTGGTTCGGTCGTTCCGAGCCGGTCCGATGGACCGATTCGGTGCTGAGCAGTCCCTGTCTAGAGAGGGCAGCACACTTGAGCGACGAAGGACAACCCCAGACATGATCGCGTTGTTACAAAATGAGGGCGCGAGATTTCTGCCAGTTTCCGGCCTCGGGGGGCCCTCGCCGGGCCTCGGGACTGTCAAACAACGAATCAGGATGAAGAACCGGTCCTGGGGAAAGGGTCGGACTTCCAGAGACGTCGTCCCGAAAAAATCAGGACGTTCCATGTCTGGGACGAGGTCGTCAGCGCGGACTTTGACGCGCAATCTAGCCGCGTAGGGTCGCGCGTGAGCGCCCTCGTCTCCAGTGTAGCGCGCCGCGCTGGCGTCCCGCGACAGCCGCCGCGGAAAGTCGCTACGTCGACTTGCCTAATGCCAGTGTTCTTCTGTTTCGTCGTTCGCTTGGAGTTCAAGCGAGGGGCTTCTGCAGGTGCTCTTGTACAACTCGTGACTCGGGCCTGATTTGGTGGGCGGACCGTGGCCTGCCTGAGGATGGCCTTTGGGGGGCAGTTCGATCCGTTTCTGATCTATTCAACCGCCGCTGGCTAAAAAAGGGTTGGCTCTATACACACGTGTTCTCACAATGTCACCGCATGGTTGATCTCACAACTGCATGCAAGTGAGGCCTGTTGAAATGACCTCAGCAGGACCCGTCTCACAAAACCCCAGTTGATTCACAAACTAACTGGGTGAACGAGCACGCCTTTATCGCTTGGAAGATCGCCGCTCCTAGGGCCCTTACCCTGTGGCCAAAAGACTTGTGCAGCCAAAGCCATTGAATGGCCGTCTGAGGCCTCTGGTAGCGTCTCTCATAATGCCCCATTCTCGGGTTCTCTTGCACAGGTGGTTGTGGACGCCTTCCGCGGCTCTCTTGGGCTGCCTGGGCGCCCCCTCGGCGCCCTCGCGTGCCGTCAGGTTCGTGTCGCGTCGAAGCGGAAGCGACCACGGCGCGGGCGCTCAAGATCGAAGGCCACCGCTGCCCAGAGTTGGCCGACATCGTTTGACTCGCGCTGTCCGACAGCCGCCGATCGTTCAAGGCTGAACGACCCACGCTGCGTCAGAAACCAGCGCCGAAAGTCGTCACGACACGAATCTGCAGCACATGTCCCGGTCCGCCATGAGCTAACCTAC